CATGTACTGGAGCTAACATTCATCCTTCACAAAGTGGATATCAGTTTATTATTTTTATTTTAATTAGATTATGGAGCCATGTGATTGACAGCTTTATGTGGCACCTACTACTCAGAAAAAAAAAATGAACAATTGATAAATAAGAACCAAAAGCTTGAATGAGACAATGGAAACTACTACAGGGTCTATCTGCACATTCCTTTGCACTTTTAATAGCATTGTTGATTAACTAAAATTATCAATTTGATAAGTTTCTTTATTGAATTGATTTGGTTCACTGTTTGGAACTTGAACTTGTATATATTTATTATAATTGCATTTTTTAAGGGGGTACAGTTTTTCCTCTAGATCAAAATTGTGACTTTCCATACATCCTAGAAATGTCTTGCCTCATAGATCATCTATGTAGTGGGTCAGACATACCTTGGGGAATTTGTAACACTAATTCTGAATCCTGGCACCTTTTTTTTCAGGGAGACACACCTAGTAATAAATGTTTTCTGGAAAGACTGTCAGATTCAGTCCTGTAAGGCAGACATAATGCGCGCTCTCTCTCTCGTTCAGAGCAGCTTCATATAAACAAAAGTATCATCAAGAACAAGTGTCCATCAATTAGCCAGACGTCACATTTCAGCTAGCATCATCTCTACCCATCAGTTTCCTCAATCAATTCAGTCTAAATGTCATTCACAGCAGTGAACGATTAGGCTAAATAATATTATGTAAATAAGCACCATTGCTTCAGAAAATATTTATTTTTCTTTTTGGGGGGATGTATAGCCAAATAGACTATTTCTGTTTAGAAACAGCTTCAATAGAAGTTTTAGAGCAAATCAAGGATTTCTTTGTGGGCACCACATTTATAATGGGCGTCCTTTCTACAGTTGGAGTTGCTCTGTAGAAAGCATTTGGATTTCGAATGTCCTTTCTATAGTTGGATTGTAGGTGTGTTCATAGGAATATATCAGTCTTCAGGGAAGCCATTTAGCATGAGGAAAAAGTCTAAGAGTGCTGTTGTTATCAGAGATACAATATTTCAGAATAAGTTTATGTATCTGCTTCTCGTATCTTTTTACCACACTGATACCCAATTGTGCTATATTTTAAAAAGTGATAGCAAGTGAATGTGCAGCAAATTTCACCATTAAAGGGGGGAAGGGAAAGACTCCTTATAAGTGAGAAAAAAAGAGTAAACTACATCTACTTTCTAACCTACTAAATGATCTCTTTCTAATAATCCTGGACATTAAATAAATTGGTCTGTTTCTCTAAAAATTATTTTTCAATTACAGTTGATATACAACATTGTTAGTTCAGATATACAACATAGTGATTGGACATTTATATACTTATGAAGTGATCACCCCAATAAATCTAGTATACCCATCTGACTGGTCTAACTTCTTACTCTACTTTAAGAACATCCTTTCTGCCCCATCCTGATTACATTTTTCTAGCTTATAACATATTGGTGTTTATCCATTGAATATAATGAATTAAGTTTCAGTGCCTTTATTTCTTGAATTCTGCCCTGGTCATTTTTTCCTTACAGGTAGGGAGACCTCAGTATTTTTACTAGACATTCTGGGCACAAACAGATGCCATGTGAATGTTCAGACCACTCTGAATTGGGGAAGGTCAGCATGGCACTTTGGCCTCTGAATGGTTAAATGGATAGTTATGTAAAGCTAATGTTTTTGCTTGATCACTATTCTGTCTCTTTCAGCAGGTAGCCTCTTCTCTGAAAAGGTTATAGGCCTCAGCAAAGAGTATACTAAAGAATAGAACTGATTGATGTGATATATTTGAGTTTCTTTCTACCACTCTCAACAGCATGCCATAGAGAGACAGTTCTAAACACAATGAATTAAATTTAAATTACACAGCTTTGGCTAGGAAATTGTTAACTCAGCCTCCAAAATAAAATTTAATTTTTTCCCTACATTTGAGCCACTTCATTTTTTTTTCATACAGTGATGATTGCTGCAATGCCTCTACTACTTAAAAACTTTTATTCACAATTCCGTTACTTTTTAAAAGACCATGCCAGGTTTTAATTTTTGAAGAAAAACATGAAAAACAAGAATGTATATTCATTATACCAGGAAAAGTACGTTAAAATCTAAATTATAGTTTTACAATAAGGGCATATTTGCACAGCTTGTTTTCTACTTGAAAGGTCTATAGAAGGTACTATTTAATGGATGACATGTTTTGTTATTTTAGGTACTATATTTTGTGAAAGATAACACTGAGAACATTCTAACACTTTCTGTTTGCTATTAAATTGTCCCAAAGGCTGTTGAATGTAGAAAATAGGTCAACTTTTAAAACAGAACTTAAAACTTGTGCGGCTAAATAATTTAGTCTGCATCAAACACTATCCATGGAGTCACACATTTTCAGTCCATGAATTTCTTTTAAGAAGCAGCCTTTATTATGCATACTTGATGTTTGACTTCTAGTTCAGAATTTGAACCTAGACAGTAAAAGAGGGAAGCTTAGCTCAACAAAGTACCAATATAGCCACTATATTTTGATTACATATTAACATGAGATCTTACATGTATAATTCACACATACAACTTCCAGTTTAATATCTAAAATTATATTATTTATAAATAGAGCACAAAAATCTATTTGGTTCTACATTTGTGAAATGTAGCAATATTGATAATATTGCCACTTTTTATGAACATTACAATGTGGTCCTATTTTAGGTCTTTGTGTACTAATTTAATTCTTACAATAGGAACTATTATGTTGTCCAATTTTTCAGGTGAGAAAAACAAAATGCAGGATAGTTGATAAACTTCTAAATCAGAGTTTCCCAGCTTCTGCACTATTGGCATTTTGGGAGGACTGTCACGTGCCTTTTAGGACATTCAGCAGCATTCCTGGTTTCTACCTCTTAGATTCCAATGACAGCTGACACCCTCCACCCCAGTTGTGTCAATATGTAATGTCTCCAGACATTGCCAAATGTCCCACAGGCAGCGGAGGGGAATGGGTCAACATCACTGCTGGGGTAAGAAGCAGGAGATTGAATAATTTACTCACATCCTCCTATCAAGAACAAAAAAATAGCACCCCTACACTGATTGCATTAATGTAGTTAACAGTCCTCAAGGAACATGAGAAATACTCTTGTAACCCTGAAATTAATTTTAAAGAGTATCCACTGTGGTTTAGAAAAAGTATCTTTGTATTTGAAATTAGCTCCATAAAAAGCAAGTGATCTGCTCTGGGGCAAATTGGAACAATTGGCCTGCAAGACCTCATAATCCAATAACTTGTTATCAAGCCAGTTTGGATGTTAGCCTGCAGGACGTGCTTGTGCCAAAAAGAGGATTTTTTTTCCCCTTTAAAGCTCACTTTAATGAAAGATACCTGTGTAAGGATCACACCAATTGCTGGTAGTTATCACTAACATGAACAGTTACAATTCAAGGAAAACTGATATTTTGAATTTGGTCTTTTAAAATAACAGCAGCAAAATGAATGAATCCAGTCTCCTAATTGTCTCAGAAGAATTGAGAACAGAATAATATGAAGCCATCTCACGATGCTATTTAAATGCTTGCATTTAATTGAAGTTATATTAAAGAAGAATTAGCATCTGAACAAATTCTTTATTCTTAATTAAAGCTCCTGCACTTAAACGATTTTTAAGCCTAATCTTTTGTCACAAAAGTGCATCATCCCTTGTCTCCATTTTTCAAAATGGCACAATTTTCTTGACATTTACTTATGCTTTAATCTTGGACTGTATTAGTTACTGTTTTAATGAAAACAAGTCATATTACATTTTGGCTTTTTAAAAAATTGTAAGATTTATATTATTTTTAATTTGTAATAAGTTGTAACTGAGATAACGTATTAGTTTCAGGTATACAACATAATGATCACCACAATAAGTCCAGTTAACATGCTTCACTATAATAGCTACAGCCTAGGTTAATTCCACTTTTAAATAAGGCTTTCATTAATGTTGCAGTTCTGAATATTGTCTAAACAATTATAATCTCCTTAATCCTTAGCCGATGTAATGAGATATTTTCCTTCTTGTACCTTGCATTCTCTCTGTGCTGCCATTAGCCAGATCTGATGCAAACCTCACAGTCTCCATGCAGTAACTGTGCTGAGTTTACTGCTGCTTGTAAGTGGCAGTAAAGAACAACCTCCAGTGCTTGTAAATGAGTCGATTATGTGACTAACTGCCAGGATTTACACACTCTGCTTTTTATTACAGTGAGTGTTGTCTTTTTTGCTTTAAGTGCAATGAAGCAACGAGAATGTCACAACGACAATCGACACCTCTTTCCTACTTACTGTAAAATACCACCCCCTCACCCAAATATGATTTTCACTTATCATGACACCTTAATGATAAAAAGACAATGGGGACGTGATACCTGCTACCGAATTGTAACAAAAACAAAAATTCAGTATAAAATCTAAACACAAATTTTTTAAATACCTTAAGTAGATTGTATTTGCTTCCTTTTTTCACATCAGTGAAACATATCCTGTTTCCTAGTAAGGGCAAGCTCTAGCACAAAGATTCATCAAACTCTACCTGGCTATGAATGTAAAAGGTTATAGCATCAAACCTACTGATGCATACATGGTGGCACTCCAGAGCTGCCATAAACTCCAAATCATCTGTTTCTGTCAGGCTGCTTTAAACCTGGATGCTACTGTGTGCAGCTTCTCCATGCTGTTGAATGGGTGGGTGTCTATAGAGTTGGCTACCACCATTTCCATGCCTTCCTGTAAAATAAGCTATAACTGTGTTTTCACACGCAACTTCCATGAGAGATCTAGAGAAGGTTGAAAAAAAATGTAAGCTCTGTGTCTTTGGGAAGGGAAATAGGTACTGAATTTTGTTTCTCAATGTATCAGGTAAACACACACGTATTTCACTTGTCAATGAGACAAAGATGAGAAGCTCTGTTGGGATCCTTTAAAGTAATCGACTGAATGTGCTTTTCTTACAGACCACAGATGACATCCTTGTGGCCTCAGCAGAGTGTCCCAGCGATGACGAGGACATTGACCCCTGTGAGCCGAGCTCAGGTGGGTTAGGTTAGTCGACTTTTTTTCTTACTTTCTTTGCTTACTCTAAATCTTCGTTGCATGCTATAGTTCTTAGAAAAACCTTGCATTTATATCTAAACATCCATCCTATTACACAAGGCCTTGTTGAGAGGTACGGGTTATTGCTTTTACATGTTTATTGAAAAAGAATTAAAAACAAAACCCACCAAGATTGTGTATTTCAGAAAGAGCAGTGGGGATAGCACACAAGGCTGCTACTTTACTGTTCACATTCCCTTAACTCACAACGTAATTTTTGTTGTATAACGTTATCATGGGCTTTCCTTTGGTCACCTATAGCAAAATTGCCAGCTATAAAATTGCAGTGCATTGTGGAAAATTGTTTGACCTTTCTACTGACAAAAAGTATCCACCACTCACTCTACCAGCAAATTATCTTAAGTGAAATATTTCTGAATTTCAAAAGTGAGACTATTATGGCAGTGGTAAAACAAACAGCAGGTACAGTCTTTGCTGTACGTAATAGAGAGCATTTGAGTCTTGCCATGTCACCCTAAAATTCAAGCTGGTGCATTTTAACTCAAGCCGATGCATAATTTCTCCTCCTCCTCTGTGATAGGGTGTAGCTGACCAACACAACCCCTGTTTCCATCCAGCCCTGTACCCTTTCCTCTCCTTTTTATTAGCTGTGGGCCCAGAAAATTAGTCCCAGCCTGGATTTTATGTCAGATATTCATAATACCAACAACGGGGGCCTTTCCAGCGTTTCTTAAAATTCAGTCATTGTCTTGTTTAGGTTACCAAAAGGAGTGAGGCAGATCTGAGCTAACCACGATCAGCTAACTCATCATCTATGTCACCTAGAAAGAACCCCAGAAAAACGTCACGTCACAATACAACAACTCAATTGCCTTTTTGTGAAGAATATCATTTTGAAGTAAATCTACTCATTTTGATATTTGAATTTTTACAAGATGGTTCAGGATGCATGTCTTGCCTTTCCTTTTGAACATCACTACCTCCCATTGATTTTAGCTTCGGACTCTAAGCTCTTAGAAAAGCCACTGACAGCCAGTAAGGAGCAGAAGGTTTGGGAGAGCCAGTCTTGTGTGTTCGTGTCCTCCCTCCTCTACCTGCACCCCACCATCAAAATTCTCAGCCCGCAGAATTGTCTTTCATGTACAGTTATTAGCATTCTGATGAGCATCCATTCCATTCCTCCAGTGTATTGCTCTCTGTAACCATTCTGTTTGGGTTATCTGGACAGTGTCCCTTTGTGATGCCTTCCTGGGCCCTTTGCCAAGATCCTGCCTTTGTTTTCATTTGTATTCTCTATTTCTATATATCATATAACAAAGAAAGAAGTTGCTTTTTAAATATATTACATCAGTCCCATCTTTTTTCTCTCCCTCCCTCAGATTTCGTCTTTCCCCATTTCTCCTATTCTCACATGCCCAACCAGGACATTCTCTTTGTATCTGATCTTCTCTGAGATCTTCCAGCATAGGTTGTTCATCAAACAAAGTCGGGTGTTTGGTTGTGTTCATATTTGTTTTCCTGATTCACATTTTCTAGAGAGCAGCCCATTTTTTAGCATGTCCCACTGTATTAATAAAGCACTGAAAACAGTTCAAGTTCCTACTAATACCAGGACATTCTCTTTGTATCTGATCTTCTCTGAGATATTCCAGCATAGGCTGCTCATCAAACAAAGTCGGGTATTTGGTTGTGTTCATATTTGTTTTCCCGATTCACATTTTCTAGAGAGCAGTCCATTTTTTTCAGCATGTTCCACTGTATTAATAAAGCACTGAAAACAGTTCAAATTCCTACTAAGTACACTACTTGCTGCATTTCCTTCCTCTGTCTTGACTCTTTTTGCCAAGTGAGTAGAGTCTATCAACCTCTTATATGGAGTCCTCACCTTGGGTATCTAGTAACCTTGGGTATCTAGTAAACTTCATGTGAGAACTCTAATTGCATTTAAAATTGTCACATTTTTTTCTTCTTATTGAGCACAGGTACATGATCAAAATCTTCTAGCTTTTGTTTATAGGTCATACTAACCATTCCTTATAGACTCGGTTATTGTCTCTTTCTCCAGGACTGAGGGTTTCGGAGGGCGGGGAGGAGGAGAGAAAGAGAGATTATGCTTTTGTCATCCTCCTGTCCTTTTTATTCACGTGAGTTTTGTCAGTTGTATTCAACAGTCTAGCACAACGGAAAGTGGGAAGCAGCTTGCTAATAGCCATATGCCAGATAATCTTTCTGCTCTTGTTTTCTTTATCACATGAGAACTCTAATTGCATTTAAAATTGTCACATTTTTTCTTCTTCTTGAGCACAGGTAAATGATTAAAATCTTCTAGCTTTTACTTATAGGTCATACTAACCATTCCTTATAGATTCGGTTATTGTCTCTTTCTCCAGGATTGAGGGTTTCGGAGGGCGGGGAGGAGGAGAGATTATGCTTTTGTCATCCTCCTGTCTTTTTATTCACGTGAGTTCTGTCAGTTGTGTTCAACAGTCTAGCACAACAGAAAGTGGGAAGCAGCTTGCTAATAGCCATACGCCAGATAATCTTTCTGCCCTTGTTTTCTTTATCACACTTCACACTATGTGAAAGGATCTTGTTTATCTGTGCATTACCTGTTCATGAATGCATAGCTTGCATCCCCCCATAAGTAGGGCAGCTCCGTGAAGCAGAAACCCTGTTTGCCTTGCTCCATGCATGGATCTGTTGTGTAAATTTTGTTCTACTGCAACAAAGGCTCTTGTCAGGTATACAAAACCAACAGCTACTGCCTCTATCTGATGACACCTACTTCAAGACTCTTGTACCAAGCCTCGTTTAACTTTTCATCCTCTTCCTCCGAATTTTTTTCTCCCCGTACTCTCCCGTTTTCAACTCATCAGTTCCTCTTAAGGCTTAAACTCCAAATGTGGTTGCTTCAATGGGATCATTTGCCTTAGACTTTTCTTGTGACCTTACCTGTTCTTGAAAGTGTCTCCATAGTATATTCCATGAGTGCTTTCTCTTTCTATATTACATTTTGTAAGTGAGATCTCTTTCTACTTGACTTGTTCTGTCCAATTACCGATGACTTTGTATGCCCAACTTTAATAATTCCTGTACTTTGCTCTTTTGGTAGAATTGGCTCTTTTTCTGTGACATCTTCCTATGAGATTCTTAGTTTATATATTTCCCAAATATTTTTCTTTAATGCTCTGCAAATATGAATGTTGTTCTATTATAGAATGCCCCTCCTGCAAGCCTTTCTTTTCTTAATGTACTGGTTTTCTTAAATATCTTTTTCTTGCTTGCATTTTATCTTGAATACAAGTATAAAATAACATGTGCAAAAACTGTACTTGTTGATATTATTAGATTTTGGATAATGTTTGATAAAGCTAAAAATCATTTCAGATTATCAGCAGGTCATGTTTTAGAAAACTGACTTTTTAGAAAAATTACATATTGAGTTATTCAGAAATTAGTTGTATCTGCTATGCACTTTTGCTCTTCCTAAAGCAAAGAAAAGCAAGCTGATATTTTTGTAAAAATGTGCAGGATAACTTCTACAGGTGGGTTGCACACTAATGTCTTTCACACTCCCTGAATATTTACATAATAGAGTTCTCTGATCTCCCTGATCCACAGCCCCTTCAAATATCTTCTTCTCTGAAAATGTGCTATGTTCATTACTTAGGCACCTTTCTAGGGCTATTAATGAAACAGGGAAAATCTGGCATATTCTTGAATAGAGTAAATATGCCTTCTAGCAAGTGTTTGATCAATTTGAATTACCATGTGGTTCCCTTCAGAACTCTTAATGAAGAGGAAAGTTGTATATGTGGTAGATTATCAGTTTCACCATTGATCAAATAGTATTGAGTCCTCCTGTGCACCCACTGCTCTGTTAAGCTCTGGGAGCAAAAATAGGAAGTTCTTATTCAATTTCACATTCTACAAACGGACATCTTTCATTCTACCCTGAATGCATTCTCAATTAATCTTCATGATCACCAGGTTCTTCATCTTTGACATTAAAATATCACCTATTTTTCAGGTTATTGCAGGAATTAAAACTAATATTTAAGGCGCCTGCTGCAATGCCTGGCATAAAGTGAAGCATAAATGGTGGTTCTTCTTTTTCTCAGTTTAGCAATATAGAAAGAATATTCAACCTACATTTTCCCTTTTACAAAGTGCTATTACTTTTCTGACTGAAAATCAGTGGACAAATGATGAGCCACTCTGGCCTCCTGATGGGAACTGTACATGTTGAAACTAGATCAGGGACAACCCCCTGTGTGGAAACACTTGGAACTCAGTTATCCTTGGTTGCAGCCATATTGTCCTGTGTGGTTAGCATTGGAAAATACCTTCACATTGGTATAAACAGTGTTTAGAATATGGCAGGGTGACTATGCAATTCAGGAAGTCTAACTGAATCATCACTCTTAGCTGAGAGGTAGAAATTGGAAGCAGCCATTGGGAACTAGATCACATTTCCCAAAATGCCTCCTTTCAGCTGCCTGGACATGTGACAAGCGGATAGCTTTTCCCTCAGCCTACAGATATGGTTATTAGATTAAATGAATTAATATATAGAAAGCATGTTGTAGAACAGTGCCTTGCTTATAATAAGTGCTATATGACTATTTGCTGTCATTACGATTTGTATTAAATACATATTTTCCAAGACATTTTTTCACGTGAACATACTTTAGTTTGTAAAGCTTTGAAATCTTATGTTTTAGATTTACTTAGTAAATTGACAAAATGACAACACTGCAAACCAGTTAAGTTTCAAGGTGACCCTTAATAATGTCAGTATGTTAGTTAGTTTTGAAATCCTTTTCTAAATAGAACCTTTTCTGAAAACTCAAGAAATTTGGAAAGGTGATTTTTATGTTGATATTTGAGACAGTAAATGAAGATTATGACCCCCTTTGGTGAGATCTTCCTAATTGAATAACTCTACTTTGTCTATATTACAAAGAGAACAGGATCAG